ATAGGTGAGTACACCCGAGATAGGAAAAAAGAAAATGGCACTGCGCTTCACAAACTCAAAAAATATATACCTAAAATGTGAGAAAAATGTTATAAATTGTGAAATTGTCACAAAGTGATAAAACTATTTTGTGTTATCCACAATACCTGTGTTGCACAATGCCTGTGCTAATAATAGTTCAGAAAAACTCTGTCTAGTAAAAAAAAATGTGAATACCAAAAAACATATACTTGTGCTAGTACATCTCATAGAATGTCTACCTATAGAAATTCCTGTGTTAAAACGCACAAGTGATGTACAACTCCCACTTAATCTACATATACATATGTGAAGTCCATTACTTCTTAATACAATGAAGTCCTATGTGAAGATATATCTTTCAACTTATATAATCCACACCACCTCTGTGAATGCATAAACAATTAGTGAATAAGTGCTCTCCAGTCTCCACCGTGCTCAAAGATAAGATCTGGCCGTACTCACCGACTCCTATTGCTCACCATATTTCAGATGAACAATTAGCGCTTTGTTGATATATATCGAACCAAATCCTCGCCTTTGTTTTTGATCCGACCATAAATTGGGTTATATTCCTCCCAACTCTGGCTTATCTTTCCAAAAGTGTGTAAGGGTGCCCACACACCTTACGATAATCGTACAATAATCGCGGGAAATCCCGCGATCGTGCGATTATCGTAAGGTGTGTGGAAGCCGTGCAACCTCTACTACTGTAAGGTTGCACGACTTTTAACTGACAAACATGTTCGAAAACACGCCGAGCATCGTACGATGTTCGGCGTGTGTGTAGCATGGTCGTAAGATAAAAGCCGGACGGGCCGGTGTGCTCAAGCGCACACTGCCCGTTCGCCATTGCGGTCATCAGAAGCCGATCTGCCTGTCCAAGATTGGCAGATCGTACGTTTTTTTAATTACCTTACAACCATCGCAAGACAAAAGTCTTGCGATGGTTGTAAGGTGTGTGCCCAGCATAACACTATTCCCCCATCTTCCACCTTCTCTTGAGAAAAAATGCTTCCCATTGTTTAGACCCCTGATATTTCCCTGAAGTCCCTAAAAGTAAAGTAAAAAATAAAAATATTTAATGAAAAATTAATTAAAAAGTAAATATAAAAAATTTAAAAGTTTATAAAAAATAAATATTTGAAAAAATTTAAATAAAAAACATTTTCGGTTTCGGCTTGACAATTTTTTTTATTTCGGTTTTGATATTTCTATTTCGGTGCACCTCTAATTGTAAACCTTGGTTAAATTGGCAGTAATTTTTACTCCCAGGTATTTAATATAGTCTGTAGTCCAGAAAGGGGAGTTTAAAGCGTATGTCAAGCAAAATGTTTTTTTATGATTCTGGTTATAGCTGGGAAGGACTAGAATAACTATTGGGATTTGTAATGCTATTTGGCACTCCTTTGGAGAGATGTACCATCACTTCCTGTCTTGCTGACAACAATATCACTGGACAGGACGTGAAAGAAAATCTGCAACTGGGACAGGGACAAAAATTAAAGTCCATTATAGCATCAGTGGTGTGGCACACACTAGCTGGGAGGAATAGATTATGTTGATAGCCCTGGTGTTCTCTGACCTCTTTAACAGGGATAAACCCTTCTTGATTTATGTGGATGAGGCTTTGTATGCAAGGGTAAGTCTCTTGGCTTAAAGTGACACTAAACTCAGTGGTTTAGTACATTCAAGTACCTTAACTATTAACAATACTGTACCTCATTGTTGCATCACTCAGCTGTAGATCCTCAAATCATCTCTGAATTGGTGCTGACACTGTCCTTTCTGAAGGGTGGCTACTTTTGTTCCCAATGGTCCCTGTGTGTGTTGTAAAGTAGCCACTGCTCCGGGCTCACTCCTGTGATGGACTACAATTAGGGATGCACCAACATTTTGTCCGCCAAAACATATCAAAATCCAGAAAGTACCATTTTTCGGCCGAAATTGCGGTGCATCCTTGGTTTCTCTCCCCGCTTTGTGTTCCCTCTGACACAGAGCAGCATCCAGCAGAGAGGAGAGAAAAATTTAGGAGGCGGGGAGGAGATTGCTGTGAGTGTGTCACAGGAGGCTGAGCTCTCCTCCTGCACTGCCCCGTTCGGCCTCCCATGAAAGATCAGGATAGAGAGAAGTGTGGCAGAGGAGATAACAGTGAGCTGTCACAGAAGGCCAAGCTGGCAGTGCGGGGGAGGAGTCAGCTGTCGAGCTCTCCTCCCCGCACCACCCGCTCAGCCTCCTGTGACAGCGAGTCAGGATGGAGAGTGGAGTACAAGCACTCAACGATCAGCTGATCGTTGAGTGTTTGTAAATAATGGAGGACATAGTAGGTTTACTGTGTCCCCAATTATGAATGAATAGGAAGTGCTCTACATCACAGCCGGTGAGGAGGAAAGAAGCCGCCCCGAGGAGTGCCTGACTCAATGGCTTCATTTCCACTCGCCCCCACGCAATTTTCACTCGCAATTTGCGAGGGGGCGAGTTGAAATTTTGAGCCCTGACTTATACTATATCCTCAATTTATGAATGGACAGGAGTATAGAGGCTTCCTGTTCAGGGGCTGCAGAAAAAGAGATTGAGGACTGTGTACTCAAAGTACTATGTGCCCCTGGGGGCTAGCCTTCAGTTTTTGTTCCTAGTGTCCAATCCTGCTATAAGTGGCAGTTTAACCCATAGTTCATAAATAAGATATGTTGTGTTCCTCAAGAAAACTCCAAGAAAAGAATGTTGTGGCAAGTACAAAAATCCAATTCTTTTAAGTTACATCTTAAATCTTTTAAGCAGAGGCGGCTCTTTAATTAGGCAAATTAGGCGGTCGCCTTAGGCCTCACGCTCCCGAGGGCCTCGCGGCCGCCTAATTTGCCCTGCCGTCACATTACCTCACAGCCAGGTAACGTCATCTCCGTTTGACAGCGACAGGGCAAGAGCTTATCTGTTTCCTCGGTCCGTCCGTTCGGCCAGTGGTCTTCTGGAGCTCCGCCCACCAGCCACTGGGAAGCCACCTCACCCCTCCCATCCACCGTGCGAGGATCCCACGACAAAGCCATGGTGGGAGACCTGCTGAGACCCTACGGAGCCCTGATGCTGGTGAGACCCCACATCACCCTGGTTTAACCAGGGCTCTGTGGGGTCTCACCAGCTGTCTGTGGGGTCTAACAAGGCTGGTTAGACCCCACAGAGCCCTGGTGAGACCCCACAGTGCCCTGGTACCAGGGCTCTGAGGGGGTCTCACCAGGGTAGCAGGGCTCTGTGGGGTCTCACCAGCTGTCTGTGGGGTCTAACAAGGCTGGTTAGACCCCACAGAGCCCTGGTGAGACCCCACAGTGCCCTGGTACCAGGGCTCTGAGGGGGTCTCACCAGGGTAGCAGGGCTCTGTGGGGTCTCACCAGCTGTCTGTGGGGTCTAACAAGGCTGGTTAGACCCCACAGAGCCCTGGTGAGACCCCACAGTGCCCTGGTACCAGGGCTCTGAGGGGGTCTCACCAGGGTAGCAGGGCTCTGTGGGGTCTCACCAGCTGTCTGTGGGGTCTAACAAGGCTGGTTAGACCCCACAGAGCCCTGGTGAGACCCCACAGTGCCCTGGTACCAGGGCTCTGAGGGGGTCTCACCAGGGTAGCAGGGCTCTGTGGGGTCTCACCAGCTGTCTGTGGGGTCTAACAAGGCTGGTTAGACCCCACAGAGCCCTGGTGAGACCCCACAGTGCCCTGGTACCAGGGCTCTGAGGGGGTCTCACCAGGGTAGCAGGGCTCTGTGGGGTCTCACCAGCTGTCTGTGGGGTCTAACAAGGCTGGTTAGACCCCACAGAGCCCTGGTGAGACCCCACAGTGCCCTGGTACCAGGGCTCTGAGGGGGTCTCACCAGGGTAGCAGGGCTCTGTGGGGTCTCACCAGCTGTCTGTGGGGTCTAACAAGGCTGGTTAGACCCCACAGAGCCCTGGTGAGACCCCACAGTGCCCTGGTACCAGGGCTCTGAGGGGGTCTCACCAGGGTAGCAGGGCTCTGTGGGGTCTCACCAGCTGTCTGTGGGGTCTAACAAGGCTGGTTAGACCCCACAGAGCCCTGGTGAGACCCCACAGTGCCCTGGTACCAGGGCTCTGAGGGGGTCTCACCAGGGTAGCAGGGCTCTGTGGGGTCTCACCAGCTGTCTGTGGGGTCTAACAAGGCTGGTTAGACCCCACAGAGCCCTGGTGAGACCCCACAGTGCCCTGGTACCAGGGCTCTGAGGGGGTCTCACCAGGGTAGCAGGGCTCTGTGGGGTCTCACCAGCTGTCTGTGGGGTCTAACAAGGCTGGTTAGACCCCACAGAGCCCTGGTGAGACCCCACAGTGCCCTGGTACCAGGGCTCTGAGGGGGTCTCACCAGGGTAGCAGGGCTCTGTGGGGTCTCACCAGCTGTCTGTGGGGTCTAACAAGGCTGGTTAGACCCCACAGAGCCCTGGTGAGACCCCACAGGCCTGAGCAGGGGGCCTCATGTTTAGGTTTCGCCTAAGGCCTCGCAAACTCTAGAGCCGCCTCTGCTTTTAAGTATGTTTGTTTGTTTCTCCACCACTCGCAAAGGGACATTGTTATGTGTATGTCTGTGTAATTTTTATTTGTGTTAAAAAAAAACAAAAAACTTTTGTGAACATCAAAAAAATGTGCCAGTCCTTATCAGCTTTTCTATGCTGTTAACTGAATCACATACTCAATGTTAAGTAATTGCCTCCAAAACATACCCTTTTGGTGGGACTTTAAGACAAGCTGGATACCCAGTATAGATCTCCTTTTATTACATAGTTAGCTAGGTTGAAAAAAGACACAAGTACATCCACAAGTCCTATAATTATTAGATGTTAGGTAATGATTGCTTCCTTCCCTGAATGTAAGTTCCTGTAGAGTGCAACAAAAATATACATTAAAAGAAAGTGTATAGAATATATTCAGTATAAATATATGTTAGTGCAGAGAAATGTTTTGATAACGGATAACATTTTTTCTTTTTGTTTTAGGATGAATACCAGTTTTGCTACCAAGCCAGTTTGGAGTATCTGGGCAGCTTTGATCACTATGCAACATAAGAAGCCATCTTAAAGTGAACATGATCAACCACAGTATCTGCTGACCCTCTTAAAAAGACTAATCACATAAACTACAAAAAAAGGGGAAAAAGGCGCTGGCACCAGGGATGGGAGATAACTGAAAACATTTCTACAGACTTCACTTTCAGAAGTCCGTGGTGCAGAGCTTACTTTGACACTTGGGTCACTTCTATTTCAAAATGCTTTTGGTTCTGATACCTCAAGCCCTTTTCTTGAGTATACATGGATCTCAAACCAGAAGTGGTGCTCTCAGATAGCATAACAATATATGTTCTTTATTAGAAGAATAGGAGAAAATAATGTGGCATCCCTGAGGTTCATGTTATTTGAGTATTTTAAAGTAGAACTGTTTGGGCAGAATAACAGCAATGTTCTTGTGAAATGGTAAAATTTAGTTATGTATGCTTGTGTCTGAACAGAGAGCCTTTCTTTTAAAACAAAAACAAAAAACACTCAAGCAAAAAGTGAAATTAAGCAGGCCCTTGGTGTAAACTATGGCATGGATTAATTGTAATTTACCTGCAGAGCCACTACAACCTGCCTCTGACTTGAAACATTCCTTGTAAATCATGATTATGTTAAAACATATTACTAACAGCTCACACATATCCTTATTTAAGCTCTGCAAAAGACCTCAACCTAAATCTTACTGATCTTGTCTCTCTATAAGAGTTCACCAAACTTTCATCTGGAAGATGATAGGGCAGAAATTTGCTGCAGACCAACATCTGGCAGTTTGCTGACTGCAGCCAATTTTGTGTTTTTCTATGTAAATGATGCGGTGTCCACAACCGCCAAAGTGTGGCTTGTATAATACTTCTGAGTGTATGCCAGTAGCTTGCTTTAAGTATTGTATTTGTATCCATTTAAGTGACATTAAAATTAGACTCCTTTTTTATATTGTGGTTCCTTTTTGTAAATAGATTACTGTCCATGAAATGAAAAAAATGTGTGCTTCTCTTCATATTCTGTTCAAATGCTATTTTTTCTATGTCAAGATGTTAAGTGTAAAGAGAACTACATATACTGGTCAGCTGCTCCTCATTACACTACTTTTCTACTAAAAAGACTCCTCATACATACATATATACATACATACATACATACATACATACATACATACATACATACATACATACATACACTTTTAGCATATCATTTTAACAGGGGAACTTGGGCTTGTCATAAATGTACCAAAATATTTAATACTGAAATGGGTGGGGAACATAATAAGCAGCTCATCTAGTTTTTACAAGCCCCTCCTATTGACCATTTAAGTAGCTGTTGAGAAAAGTCAAGAAGTTGAGAAAAAAACCTGAGACTATTGTCACTGGCCAACCACATACTGCAAACAGTACAAAAAAACTTGCGTCTATTGATTAAGATTTTTGTGGAACAATCAGTAAGGGGCTGTTATTCCTATAGCTAAGTGAGCCATGTAAACCTAATAAAAGGGCATTCTGAATATGAAGCAAATGGCATTTGTACTGCTGATGTTTTGAGACGGTGTTCCAGTTCAGTGCATATTACATTCACTAATATGAAAGCCACTTTTATGATATAAATATTAGCTTCACCCCCATCTTAATCACCAAAAGCAAATGTCTTTATAACTGAAGGTACAGCAGAAATGTGATGTATTGATCATATTATACTGTACAACTAGAAATATCTTTGTATTAAAAGCCTGAAAAGACACAGTTGAGTAATTTTCTGTTTGCAAAAACAAAACAAAAAGGGTGCTGATGATATCGTAAAATTAAGGCGGTTGCATTAAAAGATCTCGAACAAAATTTGAAGCCAAAATGTATTTATAAGGGTTACATTAACTACATGCCCTGCTGGTGTAAATAAACACATGCTAGTCAGAGTAAGAGCATTCACACCTGGAAGCTCAGCACATTTTAATGAACTTCATCCTTCAGGGCCTGTTCACACGACGTCCGTTTTCTGTGCTGACCTGATCCGTACGCTCCTGCACTAAAAATGCATGCCAATGTATCCCTATGTATTTTATGGGCTACAGTTCTCACGTGCACAGTCCGTTCATGTTACGACAGAAAAATACTGCATGTCACATTTTGTACGGTCCGGAAATGCAAAACGCGTCAAAAACGCACTGCACTGCAGCTAACATGCTGAATGCCCCACTCCAGCAAAAAAAAATGTGTTTTTTTTTTTTAACTGGAACGCATCAAGAACGCTACAAAACACACAGCACCGCGTCTGCAGATCCGGACCTGATCAGGACCTGAAACTCATGTGCACAGGCCCTCAAACTGTAAAGCACGGTAGGTTTCCTGAGTCAAGAAATACTTGCATGTTTACATTACACATTTTAAAAAATAAGGTAATGGGCGGAGCCATACAGACCATTCAGTACTGCACAGATATAGTCCAGTATTATAGAGCCATTCCATTCCGAAGCACATACAGCTGTTAAAAGCTTGTTGTCTATATTCAGTGGGAGGGATTTATCATAGCAATTGCGAGTGTTTGAACTTGCACGGAATATATTTGCACCAGATTTATGATGCCAGTGTAATGTTGTTGATAAATGAGGTTTAATAGACTCCAGGAAAGAAGACTTGTAAGTCCAGGCAAAAAGCTTAAAGGGGAACTATGAGGTGAGTGCTTTTCACTCACCTCATAGTTTTAGCCGATGTGTGACAATAAAACTGTCACAGGTCGGCTCAGTAGATCAGGAGGTGAACAAACACATACCAGCGTTCGCTCACCTCTCTATCCTGTCACAGCTCTCTGCAGTGACAGGGGAGGGGCCGGATTCCTCCCTCCCCGCTCCGATCCTCCAGCGCTGACTGGCGGAACGGACGGGGCGGGTACAGCTGGCTCTGCCTCTAGATAGGCAGAGCCAGCTGGGTGGATCCAGACATAATTATCTCAGTATACCGCAAGCGGCAGTTTGCGGTATACTGCTGCGTCTCAGTATACCGCGAGCCACAGCTGAGCCTAGGGTGACGGGAGGATGCTAGTTTGTGTCCTCCCATTACCCTAAGGAGAACTATGGGGAAAAGCCTTAACCCCATAGTTCTCCTTTAACTGTTGCTTCTTGAAGTAATCATGGGGACTTAAGTTGTGATTGTTTTCTTAGGTGATGCTGCAGTTTCAGACAGCCCAGAACAAGTGCAGATGAAACCCGGTGCAAAAAGCATGCAACTGAAAAAGTAGTCCAAGATCTGAAGAAAACAGGTGCAAAACACATGCAGTTGGAAATGTAGTGCAAGCTCAGGTCAAAACAGGGGCACATGTTGAAAGACAGATTTGCACATTAACCCCTTCGTGACGGGAGACGTACACTGAATGAAGGCGGGGAGTATGATGTCACATGACGCCATGCATGCGTGGCGTCAGGTGACGTCACACGCCGATATTGGCCCACCATCTTGGTGTATGCCTAGATATACACCAAGATGGTGGTGCCCAACACATGCGGTTTTATATGATGTCATGCGCCCTGCCTCCAGAACATGCCAATGGCTGAATTCAAAATAGCATAAAAATTTGTTTTGTTCGATGAAACGTTTTTAGTTAAACCAAGACCTCAATTTCTTTTTCAGCATCCTCGGGAATCAATCAATGGGAGGCACTCAGCACAGAGGCTTCCCATCCAGATCCCAGATAGACAATCCTCACTGTTCTTCAATTCATCAGACCATTGTTGCCCAGGTGAAATGGATTCTGATAGCAGGTTGCATTTTGCTATCAAATTTGGTTCCCCCCTCCAATATGGCCTCCACACCATTACAAGAGTAAAGATCAATGGTGTATGCCACCTCTGAGTGCCCCACACCCTAGATAGACCATCCACACTGTACCTCCGGGACACGCCCGGGACCCTTACATGAGTATCGGCTGACGGTGAAGGGCGTGGAGGCAGCCCGGGCCCCCGCAGCGACGGAGGCCTGGCCCTAGCAGCGCAGGGCACCAGCATTGCTGCTCCAGCGGCTTCGAGATAAGCTGGGGCCCCATCAGTGACGCTGCTCGTCTGAAGGCGGACTTGCGGAAGTGACGTCACGTTAGTGACGTCACTTCCGGTCAGTCCGGGGGGGAGAGGAGCCATGCTGTGCAGGTAAGAGGAGCTTAGAGGGAGGGGGATGCAGCCCTGACCAGACCAGCCCACCTGAGACCTCTTCAGAGCCCACCATAGACAGTCTCAGATGGGCTGTGCAGCATCTATGGTGGGCTATGCAGAGTCACTCTCAGGTGGGTCCAGCACGTTGTCACTAAGCCCTGCATCCAGCGCGTCGTCACTAAGCCCTGCGTCCAGCGAGTCGTCCTGCTGCTGCAGGGGCCCGGCCGCCTCCTCGCCCCTCACCGTAGGCCGATACTCATTTTTTTTGTATATTAAATCTTGATTCCATTTTTAACATGTAACATTTACAACAACTTAACAATCTTTTCAAACACATTTTAAATACTCCATCTCTTCCATACATCCGCATTTAACATGTATCCCTCTGTCATTCCACCCATTCAATCCGATTATGTCCCCTTACTACCTTCAGTATCCCTATATTCCCGAAGAGAGATCTTCACTATCTTCCTCCTATACTAGATCCATACGAGAGGTCCCCCTTAACATCCCTTAAATTCCCCCCCCTCTTCCTTTTCCCCCCCTTGTCTCTATTCCCTTTGTGTTGTATTTTCTAATGCTCCCTTTCGAGAATGCTTTATTTTTGTGTATATGAGGTTATAATTCCTATCTTAATATAGGTGTGATAACTATATATATATATGTGTACATGTAAATACTATTAATTAATTTATCTAGTGCTTTATGAAGTGCTGTGTCGCGTTTCTTCATCTACATAAGGGTTGCTGAAAGTGCCTTATATCCCTATCGTGACTTCTCTTTGTGTCTGTGCATTGCATGTGACAAAATCCTAGGGGAAACCCCCTATCTTTCCGTGTTTGCTCCCCTTCTAATCCCCTACCCTTCGCTCCCCCCTCCCTTCCCTCCCTTAACCCTATAAATACCAACCCTTATACCTCTCTGTGGGTCTAGTCCTTCAACTCCCCTCCTGTACTAGGTTCTACCCCTTCTGGCTAACCCTCCTGGGACATCCCTGTATTACCTTTCTCTACTCTCTCGATTCCCATACACCCCCCCTTGTACCCCCTCCTCCCTCCCAAGGCTCTACTTTCTCCAGTCTTTACTTCCATGGCCTCTCTTCCTATTCCCTTTAAGTTTTCCCTACCCCTATAATTGGCTGCTATTCATTACTTCTTACTCCTTGATCATTCCCTTCTAATTTACAAGAATACAGTATGCTTCTGATTCTTTAAATTCTTGCCACTTTCCCCACGTCTTGAGAAATAACTCATATTTATCTTGTTTCGTCATCACTAGCTCAACCATCAACCTAGTTGAGAATGTTTGGCGAACCATTCCGGTATAGAGGGGATTCCGTCTGTTCCCCAATATCTCGGGA